AACACGGTAAGCATGAATTTAAGCTTTATTTACGTAAGACATTGACTTGCTGTCCTATATCAAGCACATTTATGTACTTTAAGTAACAAGACAAACATAATAGATGTATGAAATATGAAAGCTTTTTTTCAACGATTATAGATTTTTTAATAATGATCAGTACATTTGCTGGATGCATTTATTTTAAGCAATTTTATAGGTTTTGAGCTTCAAGTTCACAAAGGATTACATAACGAGGACTTACTACAACAAACTCCAGCAACTTACATGAAATAAAGAAAGACTTACGGTTTTGCGTTCAACCACTGATCTCTCTCATTGATTGGTTAAATAATGTATATTACCCCAGTTATAGGCTGATCTAGGCATTTTTCACCTCCCCGGTCAAAGGCAATGACAATTTATTTATTTATTGGTGTTCATTGTACTTCTTATTAATTAGTTGTTCAATAACAGAGCTAGCATCATCGCATTCAAAGAATATATTGTGTTTTCAAACGTGTACCACGGACGACTTTAATTACCAAGGAATAACCATAATTATATAAACGCTTAAATATCGTGTCGTGCACCAGATGAAGGTCAATTAAAGTCCGTACGTATACTTAGAAACATATATCAATTTTGAGTGCATTGTTGTAGAGCAATACACGGTTCTAGTTCAAATGCGCAGGAAGCTTCGAAGATGATTTGAACCACACTCGATTCTAACATAACTTGTGCGTGCTCTTATCCCTATATAAAAGGGGCGACGGCATGGTTCCTGGGTTGAAAAGCAGACTTGTTAACCACACAAATCCTCCTCTACAATACCGTGTCTGTATCATTTTATGTTTTTCATCACTGATCTTGACCTTAGCAACAGCCAACTGACTCACTTACAGGCCAAGCGGCCTTAATTCATTTAAATACGATGTTCCTTTTCGACAATCGTGACTTTTTATTTCGGCCTTATCTGCGATGCACGATGGTAGGATGGTGATGCCGCGACATCGAATATTCACCATCGTTACATCGCGTTTTCACCATCGTACCATTGTATTTTCATAATTGTACCATCGTGTTTTTATCCCAATGTCATCCAGTTTTCATCGTACGATCGCATTTTCGCCATCGTATCATCGTGCATTGCAGGTAAGGACGAAATTTAAAAAAATACGATTGTCCAATCGGAACATCGACATAAAATTTGGAAAATCTTACATAGATCAGCGGCGTACTTTAAACAGAACAATATGGGGGAAAAAACTTTAAAATTTAGGTCATTTTTTACCATAGAAATTATTATTCAGGACAAAGAGAGTGAGCGAATGATCCGAACTTTTGCACAAAAATTATTGGTAAAGAGCCACATTAAATCTTGGTATAAAAATCTCGAAATAAAAAAAACCTATATTTCCAGCCCCGTGATGTCAAAATACATCAGTAGAATCCCTTTAATATATAGGTAAATACTTAGTTGAAATTATCTAGAAATTATCTAGAATGTTAATGTTCTTTAGACATGTATATATTTCAGCTGTTTCGATGCATTTTAACGAGTTTAAAGCTATATATCTGCTGTCTGTAGTAAACAAATTTATTTGTTTGAATTTTGAACATGAATAGATCTACATGTACTTCCAAAATACCTACATGAACGATTATATGTTTATACTGGGACGGAAGATAACTTTGTATCTTTCTGTCCCAGGTTTATAGATTTTGTATATCATACAAATTATTATTGCAATAACATACGAATTATCATTGCAATAACATATAAATTATCATTGCAAAAACATATAAATTATCATTGCCAAACCACTAAAACCCTGCTTAAAACAGCAGCACAATATTTTGTTCCGAGACATTTTATTTTATCCATATATGTAAAAAAAGAAAACATTCTATGATATTTACAACTCTTTAAAACGGACCGACGATAAGATTATTGAAGCACCATTATTTTACCGGTTTATGAATTTGATAAAAAAGAAAATTCATTCGATATAGCTTTTTATCCTTTAACATCTTTATATTAAATACCTACATGTACTATTATTCGCAAATAATCTTGAGAGGCGCTTTATATCGATATATGTAAAACTAATGACAGATTTCTAATGTATAGTGATAATGAGAAATTCATATATTTGCTATCAAATGAAAATATTGTAAAATATCCTGCCAACGCCTGCTTTGATATATTATGTGTGAGGCGCAATTTATTATATAATGGCTAATTTTTACTTTGTACATATGTATCATAGTCAAAATCCGAATAATAGTTAGTATGCGTTTGTTTTATATGTGTAATATAAGTTTTATTGCATATTTCAGCTTTTAACAATATTTTGATATCTTAATATTGTTTTTAAATGTTTTTTTTATAATCATGTTCTTAGTCTCTCATAACTCTTTTAGAGTGGTTTTGTACACGTATTTCTTTTATAACTTTGTTATATGTGTTAATGTATGTACAAAAATGAGACTTATATAAACAAATTGTTTTGACTTGTACTATGGGAGTCCGTAGCCAAGTGATTAATGTTGTTGACTTGAAACTTCAAAACACTTACCCTTCGTCGCTATTCATCTAGCTTACGGAACGTCAGTGGTTGTACTCGTGCCTGAAATAATGCACGGAAGAGCACCACAGGTCTTCCTTCACCAGTAAAGCTAGAAAGTCGCCAAATGACCTCTATTGTTTTTGTGCGATGTAAAGCCAATTAAAAAAAACCTACGCGTAATTTTTGCATTGTTAATTGTACTAAGTGTGTCATATTAGTTCTGTAACAAACCAAATTGTATAAAATCTGTTGAAAAAAAAACCTAGAACTGTAATCGTGCTAATTGGGGACGTCGTACGCAATAACAATATCAATAAAGGGTGCAGTTGGTATTGGCAAAGTGTGGAGTTGATATAAACTAATGAAAGTTTCGTAAGCAAAAAAAAAACAAATAATGATATCATTACTAAACACTTTTATTGACATACAGCAATAATTGCCTAACACTTTCTATTCGTTTGTAAAGATGTTGTCAAAGTGGCGTGCGAAAATGTTTTAAACGTGTTTTCATTAATTAAATGAACCTTCATTAATTTGGTCCATACACTGTATATATAAGAGTAATTTCGCAAAATTACGCTCAGATACCTGACCAGGCGGTTCACTGACGGTAAGTCAAACTTATTTTATTTTTTCTAGAAAATGTTATATATTCTATATCTTTTAACAAATTTTATATACAAATTTTACAAATGTAAGATAGAGCGTTTCACATATGCATTGTAATGAGCAACGGACCAACTGCTCGAACCCGAAGTGGTTAGCACTTGTCAGCACAACTTCAAATTTTCATCTTGATATCCACCAAAGTGATAATGGACAGCTCCGAATATGAAAGATGGGCATGTCCATTTAAGAAATCGGCAGACTAAAAGTTTAGAATATTACTTAACCGTCGTTTGCGTTCTGTGTTACCGCAGTAGAAGATGTAAACAGTTACTGTGAAACTGTTACAAGTGCCAATTACTAGTAATGTGCATAATATTTAGCCTCTCTTGGTTATTGCGCCGCGTAATGAAGATAATTTCCACAAAGATTACTTTTGTGGCAGTTGATTAAAATGAATTTTTACCAACAGTTAATTATGTTCGATACTAGTAACAATGCTTAATTTCAACTGTCGTTTATCATGCCATTGAACACCGCTGATAACTGAAATGCGGTACTTCCGGTGATATCTTTTGAGAAATTTGGCGTCTATTTGGGATGTCAGGCTGTTTTTTGCGCGTTTTAATACATCTCTTTTTATATATCGGCGGTTGGTCCACATAATCAACATTCCTTGAAACAAGCCAGTAATTACCAATTTCACCGCAAGCTACCAACTGGTTATTTCGCATAATTTCTGAAACAATGGTGAGGAACAAATGTCTGATATCTAGCTAATTCGGTGTATTTTCTGTTTATATTTTACATTTCATCCAAAATATTATCAAACTTTGGACAACCTTTGAATTCAAAATTCTCTGAACGATTTCTTATTGATTGAGGGGCAACTGACAAACATATATCATTTTGTTCTAATATTTTATGAAACAAACATTACCTTACTTTTTGAAGAAATTCTAACAGTACTCTAATAAAGGAAAGAATAATTTTTCATTTTCCAACAAAATATACAGTATGCTACATTATGTGATATTCTACTTTCGCTCCACAAATGGCGGCTAGTCATTGTTTGTTTGAATATGGATGTTATTTTAATGATCACAAAGATCTTTTACCTAGAAAAGAAAAAAAGAGCCAACTGGTTGAGAAAAAGCAAAATATGGCACACAATTTTTTAACATGAGCGATGACCAAGATTTCTACAGCACGCACATTAGACCCAATATCAAACGCTGTTTTGTTGCTGTAATGTCCTTTAGTAACTAATCTCGGTATAAGATATTAGTATATTTTTTCTAAACTTTACTCATTATCGTATCCGCTTAACATTTGACCTGCTGAAATCGTGTAATGGAATTGTCCTGTTTTTAATATGATATGGAACAGTCCAGTCTAAATAAAGAAGACTACACGTCTAGATATATAATAGAAGCAATGTGCAATAAGCCAGTATATATTTGCGACTTATTTAGCCTGTTCCTCAGATAGGAAGACCAAGACATCACCGGCCTTATGTTTGGCATGATATCAAGATGGCAGAATAATAACAACAATGGAGCCTGTCTCAACTTGATTTCTATCCAGCTAGAATCTCGGTGTATCATTATCGTTGATTTCCAGCATAAATAAAATATAAAGAAGACTATGCAAAGAAAAAAAAATGTTTTTTTTTTTTAATTTTCTTGGGACAAAATGTTTATTATGCAGATTGTAATATCATTTCTTGTCCTCCCAACACTAAATTTATAACAAACACTATTTTAAGAAAAAACATCTTATAAAACGTATACAGTTATCAGTGGTGCATATAAGCTACCTAAATTTAATATATTGCATATGTTTTATATATAACATAAACACAGTGATAAGTTATTTCGCATTTAATTTGTGATTTAAAACTTTACTTCATTTCAGATAATTCTCACCATGTCGCTTGCATCAGATGCGGATACATTTTTATTTGAGGACAACATCACTATGTGGTCGTCATTTGCACCAGACGACAACTACACCACTAGTGTAACCAGTATGAACGGTACGACAACATCAAATCCAGGGAACGCTGGTGGTGGAGGCGCCGTGAGATACTTTCCATGGGACAACCCGCAAAATATCATGACAAAGGAGATGTCTGATGATATTACGTCAACATTACAGTGCTACGTGTTTCCGGTGGTAACAATTGTTGGCATCATCGGATGCCTTCTCAGCTTGATTGTCTTGCTTCAAAAAAAGCTCCGGAATTCCACAACAACCATTGTTTTGGTCGGATTGGCTTTCTCTGATATGCTATTTTTGGTAACAAATTTTATACGAAAGTCCACGTGTATCATTCGACAGTATGACGAACTTTTGGCAGACGAGATCAACGCTACAACGTTCTACTACATGTTTTACATGAAAACAGCATTTAGTCGTGTTTCTACACTCCTCGTGGTCTTGATATCAGTTGAACGTCTGATTGCGGTGGCGTTTCCTCTGAAAGTGAAGCAGATTGTTACCAAACAGAGAATGATGGCCGCTGTCGTGTTCTTGTATGTACTCGTATTTGGGTCATTAGCTGGTTTGCCGCCTCAGTATACCTACACATATATACGCGGAAAGCCGTACATCTCCCAAACCAAATTTGCTACTGAAAATGCCGAACCGTTGAAAATCTATAACGAGTACTTTCTGCCAATTGCCTTTCGCTACATCCCCGTTCTGATTGTACTCACGTTAAACATCACTATTATCACGATTCTTAGTCAGAGCCAACGGTTTCAGAAGAATGTCAGTTCTCAGGATCCTAAACGCCGAGAAGAACAAAGAAAGATAACCCGCATGCTCCTGTCTGTTGCAATTATCTTTCTTATCTGTCTGCTACCAGGGGATTTGCTTCTTCTGATATCATCAATCGTGGACGGGTTTGAATTTTTCGGCACTTATCACAATCTTTTCCTCGTATTGAGTGACATCTGCCTACTGTTTGAAATGGTCAATTCATCGGTCAACTTTATCACCTACATGGTGCTCAATCGAAACTTCTTCGATACATACGTGAGTTTGTTCTGTGGCTGCCTACGCACAATTCGCGCTGGCAAGATGACGTCGTCGGGAACCCAAAAGCCGTCACGCAACACCAAGGAATCGTATTTTGCAGACACCACAAAAGCAGGGATGAAAGAGTTTGGTGTAGACAGCGGTATTGAGGACAAGTCACGATCTGACATTGAAGCTTCGGTTGTTTCCGCCGAAGGACATGTTAACCAGGCCTATGTCGTCAATGAAGGAACTTAATTGGCAGTAATGTTCATGGGGAGAGTATTGCTGCATATTTCAAGTCTATAGAAGACGAACATTTCTTAAAGATATATCGAGGGGATCATTTTTTAATTGAATCCCGCCAACTGAATTCCTTTACAATTATTTACCTTGGCCGTCCGTGGCCGAATGATTAAGGTCGTTGACTTCAAAGCTCTTGCCCCTCACCGCTGTAGGTTCAAGCCGCGGCAAAGGTCTTATGATTTTTTTTTTCATGTAAGAAAGCTATCCAGCAATATCTTACGGAATGTAGGTGATTTTACTCAGGCGCCCGTTTGTACCTGACTAAGGTTTTCCTCAACCAGTGAACTTGGAAAGTCACTTTTCTGATTTGGTGCGAGGTAAAACACCACCGAAAGTCTTTAAATAAATACAAAATGTATATATAAAACATGTTTTATATGTGTCGAGAACCAAATAGTCTAAAATTTTCGGTACATTTTCAAGCGTTTGTAATGTTAACATGTGTGAAATGAAATGATGTTAGTTTTTCATTTGTTTTTTTTTTTTGTAGTTTTTTCTTTGTGCGTTTCGTATTTAATACAAATTTAAACGAGATTTACTGTAGAGCTAAACAGTGTACTTATCTAATTTTTGCTGTATGTAAACCTTTTCATGTGTGCTCATATATTGTAAAGTTTTTGAACTTATCAAACCTTATTTATTTAGTATAAGTTATTTATTGTTGCCAATATATTGTTAACAAAGTTTGAATGGAAAAGTGTATTAATGTGTCGTATTCATTTTTATTCCCCTTAACAGTTTTAGTTGACCTGCGCCCTGAAATACACGCCGATTATGTTTAAAGTTCCCATAGCATTACACTACTCCTTGGAAATTGCACTTTGACTTTTTGTTAATCAGACCTTTTGCAAGTCAGGACCTTTCCTGACGCAAGGACGCATATAATCCTGTCTGAAAAGAACATCCAGAAAACCACACATTTATGCAGTTTAAAAATTTGTCATGTTATCCTATAAATTAAAACATGTACAGTGCCCTTGCTTTGTTAATACTAATTTCTGTTGTCGTTTGCACACTTACATCAAAGATGTAGATGCTTCAAAGATGCAATACAGCTCACGCATATCTGTATATATACACACCTCCTCAATTGAAATTTCTGGCAGTACTGAAAACAAATCTAGTCTTGGACACAGGTTGATCCAACTATTATACATTTTCAAACAGAAAGATCTTGTGTGATACATACTATTTCCCCCGTTTTTTGTACATCATTAAGATTGCAGTACTGTTTTATTCATTCTTAATTATGAAAGCACGATGAAGGAGATTTATAATTGATAAAATCATTACAAGTTATTTTATGTATAATGAATAAATAAACTTGAAACACCTGTATATATACAATAATGAAAAGTACAAATCTACTATTCACAAAATGTAAACCTCTCGAAGGAGTATGGAAGAATAATATGAAGGGAAAACAATTATCAAAATGGTCAAAGAAGCTCAGCTTAGCATCGCTCTTTGATAATGTTTTTATGGTGGCTGATTTGGTACACTTTCCGCGTTACGTTGCCGATAGCGACCTATATCGTTATCGCCTTTTCATCTTGTCGTCTTGTAGCTAGCGAAACACGCCCAACGGCGCGTTGTCGCCATGTCTGTGTGTGTTTTTAGTTTTATTTATACTGGGCGCCGGTTTCCCATATGTCCCAGACTAGTCGGCCTCTATTACGATTGCTGGTAACGTAGAGCCTGCAACGGAGGACTTATTCGCCTGCAACGTCGTCGATGTCGTAGAGCCGCGAGGTCACTAGGTCACCCATCTGGTGTGACCTATGCCTTCCGAGCGACGTGCACGCCACGAAGGGAAGTCGGAAGATGCCATGTCGTCCGGTCGCTTGGCTTATATATACAGTTGACTCTCAATAAGTCAAAATCGCTTTACTCAAAATTCCGCGTTAGTCGAAGAATTTCTAAAGTCCCGTCATATTTCCTTCTTTATCTTTGTATTTTAACTCCGCTTAGGTCAAATTTTGACTTACCGAGACTCCTGTTTAGTCGAAAAGAAAATTTGGTCCCGTCAATTAAAGTCAAACATATTTTCATCTCAATTAGTCGAAGTGTTAAAACAGCCGACTGATCAAAGGGCGAGACGTTGTCACTCGTGATTCACACGTTTCATAGTAATTTTAATTGCCGGTCACCTTGTGTTATTAACACGTCGTAAAAGTGGATGTAATCGGTTTCAGTGCTTAATTGGTTTTAACAGTTAGATAACTAAATAAAGATTTAATTAATTTAATTGTAATTAAGTTTACCAGCAGACTAGTCTTACACATTTCTTTAAGAAAGTTGACTCGTGCCAGTCTGACAGGTGTTAGTCAAATAACAGCTTAGATATCAAGGTAAATGACATTTGTATCATTAATGTTCCGTCATATTGATCAATTCACTTCAAATATTAGATAAATTGTTGTTGAAGTAAATGTGTTATTGTGCTTTTATTGTAATGAATTGTCGTGAGTGCTTATTAAAAACACGTGCATTGCCGCTGTCAACAATAACAAACCTACTTCTTTGCACATTCAGTCAGGCACATGTATATACATGTACGAATGTCAACGTAATGGCGGCAGATTCACGTTACTCGAATTCCGTTTCTCTCGAAGTAAAATGCCCAGTCCCTTGGATTTCGAGTTACCGAGAGTCAACTGTATATACAAATAGCCAATCGATTTGAGCCTAGCGACAATGTAACATAGCGACAACACACCGCACGAAAACACGCCGTTTGGCGTGCATCGTTAGCGACAAGACGACAGTGCGACAATGCGCTAATTAGCGCTTTGTCGTACTATCGCTAACGACAACACGACGCACAAAAGTGTTCCAAATCTGCCAACATACATGTATGTTTCGACAACTTCATGAATTCCACTCGGATTAGACTTCAATGTCTTGCACATAATTTAAAGATGGATGACTGATAAAATGTGAAATTTCATTTAATTATCTCCAGATAGGAAATTAGATGTATACGTCTTCCCGCATTAAAAAAAGCACGTGATTTTCAGCCATGAGTTTTGATTGAACAATTCAAATTGGTTTAATTATTTCAAGGGAATTTTTTCTCTACAGTCTACTAATATTATGTCAACCAAAAAATATAAATAAATAATGAATGGTAGTTTGTGGGTAATTTTCATGCAAAATTCATATAAAAAAGTTACATACTAAACAAAAATAGTCAAGCACAGGTAGTCATTTTGTTACTGAATATAAGTTACATTCTGGGACATCTGATCTAAAACCTTATCCAACGCGATTTTATTTTTTTAATAAATTATTTATCTATCTATTACGTGCGCGTTTGTGCGAGATGTGAAAGAGAATAAGGCCGCTATTCCATTGGTACGTGATCAACCTCAGTGGTCCGTGTCCATCATCCGCGTCCGCTACCGATAGCAAACAGGACGTTTCGGCCCCAAACCAAATCGGCCCCAATGCAAAAATCGACAAAATGCCTCGAACGAAATTAAATACTTTATCGATTTCGAAAAAAAAAACTAAATAAAAAGCTTACCAAAATAATGTGGGAGAACCTAAAAGTAAGTTCATGATGCACCAATGACAGATTAAAAAAAAACAACAAAAAAACAACATCATATATCTGGTCTTCGGCTCCTTTCAAAAACCTAACTGGTATTCAATATCTGTTCTATTTACCTAATTCTTTGATGTTAAAACTGGTTTTGGTATTAGAACGAAATTATATCATATTCTACAAATAATTATCCTCTGTTTCAAAGTATATAGAAAATAATACGTACCTATGGAATAATACTCACGGACATGCCCCGGACACGGTTCACGGACGCGGGACGGGGTCACGGATCGCGCGGCCTAAATGTATTAAGTACATTTTCTGTACACGAATTGCGGACATTTCGGACCATGGACGTTCCGGACCAGACACTTCGGACCAGACTTTTTGGTCATTTCGGACCAGATTTTGGGACATATCGGACCATGTGATGGTCATTTCGGACCATGATAGGGACACTTCGGACCAGAACATATATTCCTTTTTATATGTAATTGTTTGTTATTTCAGGATGTATTTACAATATTTTCTAATAATAAATGCAACAAATATTTGACATTTTTATATTTTATGATATTCAAAATGCATGCAGTAATGACCTGTCCGGCGAGATTTTCACATTTTTGACAAGCTTATATTACCATTGTTTTGACTATCCATGTAAAATATTTCTATCATAATTCATTTATGTATTTCTATACACTGACCATGTTGTAATATTGAGGGAAAAAAAATATTAAAAAAAAAAACAAAACAATAATAGCCATGGAAGTTGATCATATAATAAATTGTCTGCAAACGTGTGTCATTAAAACATTGCTAGTTTGTTTTTTAATTTTCTTCATTTATAGTGCAAAATATATAAAAATCTAAACCGGGATAGGTGTAAAATCTTCCCATGGTGTCTCATATATTCTAAAGTTACACTTTAGTTTATAGAATAAATGATGCATAATATATAAAAAATGATATTTATTCCGGTCTGAAATGTCCAAAACAATGGTCCGAAGTGTCTAACACATGATCCCAAATGTCCAACACATGGTCCGAAATGTCCAAAACAATGGTCCTATTACCCTGTACATGTAGGCCTATTTGTGAAAGTTGAAATAAAAAAGTTGATAAGCGTTAGTTAAAAAGAGAGAGTATACAGTTAAAACAAGTAAAAACAATATTTTCATTTCAAACACAGTGAAGAAAAGTGGTCTATCCCAGTTTATCATTTCTAAGTCAAAGATTATCAGTTGCGTCAAAAATTGATTTTGATGACAACGTCCAGAGTTAACATTCGTGCTTACTTTATACCACTTCACTTCCGGCTAATTTGTTTTGGTAAAAAGTAAGATTTTTATCTTATTTTCAAAAGGTTACTTTGTGTTCATATCAATTACACGGTGATTTTTACTTTGTGTCTTTCGGTGCATCAACTAAGAAGCATTTTAGTTAATATTGAATATATATAGGAAAGATTAGATAAAAAGGATAGTTCATTAGTACTTCGGATACTCGTAATTTTCGGATAGTTAGTGAGAAAATGAGTTTTTACTACCTCCTGAGTAAGATTCTCACGATTCAAATGGTGTTTCTCTCAGGGTTTTTTTTCAGGACTTTGGGAACATGGAATTGGCAATTTCAGTGATGTTTTGTTCAAAACTGCGAAAATGCTATCTTAATTTTGCAGTGATTAGATTTTTTAGACAGTTTTGAAAACATTTTAACTCATTTAAGAACAGATTGTGAAACTATAATTTTAGGTGATTTTAATATTTGTGTATTACATAAGTCTGGTTCTTTTTACAAGTCTTATTACAATATTTTACGGCTTTTTAATTTAGAACAGATTATTTCAGAACCTACTAGAATTTGTAGTTCATCTATTAGTCTACTTGATCATATTCTATGTAATAACAAAGAAAAAATATCTCAGTCAGGAGTTATTCCTATGGGTCTGAGTGATCATATGCTTACTTTTTGCACAAGAAAAATTGTGAAAGTTCCAGCAAAGGAACATAATTATGTTAAAATCAGGTCTTTAAAAAATTATGATAAAACAGATTTTATTTCCAGATTAGCAAATGCTGACTGGAGTACTTGTTTTTACTCTACTGATGTTAATACTGCATGGATTTCTTTTAA